GCAGTTTCCTGGGGGGTGGAGGCCTGGTCGAGGACCGGGCCGCGGGGACACTAAAGCCCCGAAATCATCTCAAGATAAGATAAGATCCCTTCCCGGGTGCTATATCGCCTACGAGGCTCCGTGTTTATTCATTACGGGCTATTCATGCCCGTGTCACCTCTTAGGTGGCTAAACCTTCATCACTAAAGTGTTCATTCAAGTTACAGCCCCGCTCCTGTGCCAGGTAAGTCCGCTACGGGCTCGCCATAGCCCGTGCTACTTGAAACTTTTTGTTCCCAGTAGTTGAATCTAAAACAACATGTGTTCATTATTATCACTTACGGGCTACTCATGTCCGTGCCGCCTCTTAGGTGGCTTAATCTTCATCAATCAATCAATCAATTTTGTTTATAATCTTTTCCTCGCCCAAGCAAGGTCACTTTTAAAAGCACAAAGTAGGACTCAAGACATGCAACTTGCCTTGTCCCTGAAATAAGAATAATGAACTACAACCTTACCACACCTGAGGAAGAAAGAGGGACATGATAACGACATACAAAATTCCAAAAGAAAACGCTAAAATTTAAAAAAAGGAGTTATGTTCAGAGTGATATACATATTGAAACGAGAGAACATTGAGGGGAAACGTAGTAGGAATATCGAAAAAAACGTTTAAACTGCGAATAAAAGGATCGTGATAGAACAGAATGGATTTGTGGGTCTGCGAGCCACTGCAAGAAGCAACAACCTTAATGATCAAATTTACCAACAAAGAGTAGGAGAAATTTAGGAGACGGACCGAAACGTCGTCGTCCCTTCAATTTCTAGTGTGTGGTCTGGTCAACATACTTCAGCCACGTTATTGTGACTCATCGCCTGCAAAGAGTAGGAGAACTCTCGAAATCAACTACACGTAAACATCAGGAACAGAACAAATCCACAAGGGCCGTGACGAGGATTCGAACCTGCGTCCGGGAGCATCCCAGACACTGCCTTAATCGCTTGTAAAAGCACCTTCATCACCTTCAGTGATTAAGTGCTTAATTGCACACTAGTTTCTTTATCAGCTATCTCACCCTGTCAGAGTAAATGAGACAAATGTATGTGAATGCATGTGTGTGTGTGTATATATGTATGTATATGTGTGTGTGTGTATGTATATGTATGGGTATAAAGTATATATGGAAGCTGATCAGAATTACATTTCACCTTTGTGAATGTACATTAATGACACTATGTAAAAGACACATCAAACACTTTATGTAGGGCATACGTAAATCTGTGTATCTATGTATTTACGTATGTAGGTTAGCTTAGCATTTTAAAAGCACCGAATCACCTTCTGTGGTTGAGTGTTCAATAAACCCTTGAACTGTATGTTTAACACTTCTCTAACGCTGTCCATGGAGGACAGAAGAAAATGTATATATGCTGGTTAGCATTGTAAATGTGTGGCCACGACTGTGGTAGAAAAAAAAACTGCCTTAATCGACTGAGCTTGAGGGTTATCTTGAGATGATTTCGGGGCTTTAGTGTCCCTCGCGGCCCGGTCCTCGACCAGGCCTCCACCCCCAGGAAGCAGCCCGTGACAGCTGACCCGATAAACCGATAACTGGACAGGCGGGGCTTAAGAGCTAGAGTCCGACGCTTACACATCTTCTTTAGTCCAGTATCAACTTATATGCGAACATCCGCCTGTTGGGGCCAAAAAAAAAATGACACGCGTCCAAGTGGTTATGAGTTTGAACTGATAACGAGTCGGGTTCAATGGCCTTGGTCAATAGACAGTCGCTTGTTTGGTAGTTTGTGCTGAAGAGGCCCCTTTTCACGCCGCTTGATTACTTGTTTGTAGTTTGTTCTTGTTGTAATGATTCCTTGCTTTTTTTCTCTCTTGTTTCGCTTTTCATCTATTTTTACTGTGATTGCCTATGTGTATGTGTCTAAGTCTCTTTCTCTCCTCTCTCTCTCTCTCTCTCTCTCTCTCTCTCTCTCTCTCTCTCTCTCTCTCTCTCTCTTATTTATCGTACATTTTATATATTTTCTCAAACATTTTCCCCTTTTCTCATTATTTTTATTTGTTTCATTCCATTCTTAAATAATTGTAATGGCTTGACGCTTTTCCCCTGATAATTCTTTCCTTCCTTCCATTCTTGCTTATTTCTCTACATTCTTTCTTCACTTCATTCTTACCTGCTTGCTTGCTTTCATCCTCGTCTACCTCTTTCTTCCATATTCATTCGTATATATAAGCTTGTCCCCTCAGCTATGCCAGGCTGCCTTCTTAGCAACATCTTAAGTATTTTTTCAACAGTTAATGTAGCCTGCTTCACCAACTGCTAACATACTTGCGGTCCATCACACAGTGACGCAGCTTTGAGTCACACTCATCCACACCCCTGCATGAAGGACCGTCTGGAAAACAGTGTTATTTACGTTTAGATGTGTGAAACTACGAAATTGAGGTATATTCATTGGTATTAGTGATCCTTCACACTCATCCACACCCCTGCATGAAGGACCGTCTGGAAAACGTGTTATTTACGTTTAGCATGTGTGAACGTACGAAATATGAGATATATTCATTGGTATTAGTGACTCCTTCTGAAGATGTATTAATATACGAAAGTACTTGAGGAAATTCCTGTTTCAATTTTCCTCCGTGGTCTGACACTGTCTCATTGGTATTCACGAATGAATCTGTATTGTTTTGGTCATAGAAAATTGTACTCTTCTGATGTTTTTTTTTTTTTTTTAGATTTAGCTACTCAGAACGAAGTGTCGATGTAGCACGGGCTATGGTGAGCCCGTAAATACTAGTCCTCTTATCCATCGACGACGCTTTATGAAGGTCATGAGAGACCTAATGTAGCCAATGTTGGGATCACTATGAGGTCGTGTTGTTGTTGTTTTAGATTCAGCTACTGGGAACAAACGTTCCAAAGTAGCACGGGCTATGGTGAGCCCGTAGTGGACTTACCTGGCACAGGAGCGGGGCTGTAGCACTATGAGGTGATTGCATCACGTCATACAGTGTTCGAGTCCGTTGCATGTCACTTATTCGACGTGACTTTTGCATTATTTGCTGTAATGAAAACGGTGAGAGTTCGCCCTCTTGATAAGAGTCACGTTGTCGTCGCCACCGCCGAAGGCCATTTGAGTGTTATTGCCTGATTGATTGATTGATAAAGATTAAGCCACCCAAAAGGTGGCACGGGCATGAATAGCCCGTAAGGGGAAGCCCTTTGGAGCCATTACCACTATCAATAGCTGGTACTGGGGTTCTGTGGACGTTTATTCCATGTTGTTGGTTTAGATTCAGCTTCTCAGAACAAAAGTTCCAAGTAGCACGGGCTATGGTGAGCCCATTGTGGACTTACCTGGCACAGGAGCGGGGCGGTTATTGCCTGGTGAACCAGGAACCTAGTGACCACAGACAATGATATAGTGACCACAGACAAGGGTGCGAGCGGGATATGTGTGATATCGTATCAGGAGTCAGTCAGGATATCAATAAGGATTTCATAAGTTGACTGAGAGACCCTGTATACAACTTTTTAAAGTAATAAGACGTTTAAGGTAAGCCTTATATAGTCCCTGGTGGCAGCCTGAGGACTATATGAGTTCTATATAAGATATACCAACTTCATTCAGGTATATCTCATGATATTGGCATACGGTATAACCTGAGTCCAGAAACTATGAATATTTTGTACTCACTTTTTATTCATTTTGTCGTGGCTAGGTCACCTAGTATTTATATAATTTGTGAATTATTCCCAGTGGTTTTATACTCAACCCACAAATCTGAAAATAAAGAATTGACGTTTCGGTCCATCCTGGACCGCTACCAAAAGCCCTGGACCGCTACCAAAAGCCCTGAACCACTATCAAAAGCCCTGGAAAACTAGCAAAAGCCCTGAACCACTACCAAAAGCCCTGGACCACTATCAAAAGCCCTGGACCACTATCAAAAGCCCTGAACCACTACCAAAAGCCCTGGAAAATAGCAAAAGCCCTGACCACTACCAAAAGCTCTGGACCACTACCAAAAGCCCTGGACCACTACCAAAGCTCTGGACCGCTACCAAAAGCCCTGGACCGCTACCAAAAGCCCTGAACCACTATCAAAAGCCCTGGAAAACTAGCAAAAGCCCTGAACCACTACCAAAAGCCCTGGACCACTATCAAAAGCCCTGGACCACTATCAAAAGCCCTGAACCACTACCAAAAGCCCTGGAAAACTAGCAAAAGCCCTGAACCACTACCAAAAGCCCTGGACCACTACCAAAAGCCCTGAACCACTACCAAAAGCCCTGGACCACTACCAAAAGCCCTGGACCACTACCTAAAGCCCTGGACCACTACCAAAAGCCCTGAACCACTATCAAAAGCCCTGGACCACTACCAAAAGCCCTGGACCACTACCAAAAGCCCTGAACCACTATCTAAAGCCCTGGACCACTACCAAAAGCCCTGAACCACTATCAAAAGCCCTGGACCACTATCAAAAGCCCTGGAAAACTAGCAAAAGCCCTGAACCACTACCAAAAGCCCTGGACCACTATCAAAAGCCCTGGACCACTATCAAAAGCCCTGGACCACTATCAAAAGCCCTGGAAAACTAGCAAAAGCCCTGAACCACTACCAAAAGCCCTGGACCACTACCAAAAGCCCTGGACCACTACCTAAAGCTCTGGACCACTACCAAAAGCCCTGGACCACTACCAAAAGCCCTGGACCACTACTAGCTCCTGGACCACTACCAAAAGCCCTGAACCACTACCAAAAGCCCTGGACCACTACCAAAAGCCCTGGACCACTACCTAAAGCTCTGGACCACTACCAAAAGCCCTGGACCACTACCTAAAGCTCTGGACCACTACCAAAAGCCCTGAACCACTACCTAAAGCTCTGGACCACTACCAAAAGCCCTGAACCATTACCAAGCTCTGGACCACTACCAAAAGCCCTGGACCACTACCTAAAGCTCTGGACCACTACCAAAAGCCCTGAACCATTACCAAGCTCTGGACCACTACCAAAGCCCTGGACCATTACAAGCTCTGGACCACTACCAAAGCCCTGGACCATTACCAAGCTCTGGACCACTACCAAAAGCCCTGGACCACTACCTAAAGCTCTGGACCACTACCAAAAGCCCTGGACCACTACCTAAAGCTCTGGACCACTACCAAAAGCCCTGAACCATTACCAAGCTCTGGACCACTACCAAAAGCCCTGGACCATTACCAAGCTCTGGACCACTACCAAAAGCCCTGAACCATTACCAAGCTCTGGACCACTACCAAAAGCCCTGGACCATTACCAAGCTCTGGACCACTACCAAAAGCCCTGGACCATTACCAAGCTCTGGACCACTACCAAAAGCTCTGGACCACTACCAAAGCCCTGGACCATTACAAAGCTCTGGACCACTACCAAAAGCCCTGGAACCATTACCTAAAGCTCTGGAACCACTACCAAAAGCCCTGGACCATTACCAAGCTCTGGACCACTACCAAAAGCCCTGGACCATTACCAAGCTCTGGACCACTACCAAAAGCCCTGGACCATTACCAAGCTCTGGACCATACTGACTAGTAAGGAGTTCTTTTAAAACAAATATAGCTAAAAAACAAATTTAAATCTTCTTAGGCATAGTATAGCACACATATGTACTATATTAGGCTTCAGATATCGTGTAGCCTAGCAAGGTTAGATTAGTTTAGTTTAGTCAAAGCAACTCAAGTAAAAAATAGTTTTCCAGTTTGTCCAACTCAATAGTTCAGATTTCTACTTTCTAATTTCGTTGTATGTCGGTATATGTACTATGGTCCTCATCGTTACTATAAGTACTACCAAAACAGGAGGATGGGCTCAGGGCTCCGTGCCCAGTTACAGCCCCGCTCCTGTGCCAGGTAAGTCCACTACGGGCTCACCATAGCCCGTGCTACTTGGAACTTTTTGTTCCCAGTAGCTGAATCTATAACAACAGAGGATGGGCTGCACGTTCAAATGCCGGTAATTGATGATTTTGTGTGTGTCTGTGTGTCTTACAGCAATGTGATATTTTTTTTATTATTATTATTTTCTACCACAAACGTGGCCAGACATTTACAATGCTAACCAGCATATATACATTTTCTTCTGTCCTCCATGGACAGGGTTAGAGATGTGTTAAACATATAGTTCAAGGGTTTATTGAACAATCAACCACAGAAGGTGATTCGGTGCTTTTAAAATGCTAAGCTAACCTACATACGTAAATACATACATCACCAGTTGATTGACAGTTGAGAGGCGGGACCAAAGAGCCAAAGCTCAATCCCCGCAAGCACAATTAGGTGAGTACATAGTGTACACAGGAGCAGGTTAATGCTACTATATATTAACCCCAATTCTATCAATGAACGCCAAGGTGCATAGCGCTCCTGGCTATCTGGGTTCGAATCCTTCTGGGGGTGAGGAATTTTCAGTTGCATATTGGCTTGGGGACCATTCAAGATTGTTCGCATATGAACTTAACATCACGTTGGGAGTATAACTTTATTTGTCTAACGATATATTCAACTAACAATTCTCAGAGCTGAATATCGTAACGAACAAAGTACCATTTTTTTTAAATAGGTAAGTATATCCGGGTGGTCCTATTGGGTAAACTATATTATTCCTCTAGTTCATTGTTAACTGGTAGTGTTAACTGGTAGTGTAAACTGTACCTGTGGTTTACCAGAGACAACTGTGGTGCGGTCAACACTATACAAGAGGTAATTAGGTACACTGTGATCCAAGGTGGTGGGTAATAGTGTGTGGATGCGAACCCCGGTCACGCAACTAGTACGTCGTCTCGTTTTGTTCATTATAACACGGTTCAAATGACAAAAGTACAATGAAAAGTAGCGGCTCCCAAAAATGCCCGTTTTCTCTGTACTGGGAGAGGGTTGGTTAGGTTGGGGGGAGGGCATGGGATCGTTCATTTCTGAATAGGTTAGGAATTTGTATTTTTCAGGATGTACAAAATCAAGAGAGCGGACTGGTTGATGACACCTTCTGTTGTGTGTGTGTTTACTAGTTGTGTTTTTGCGGGGGTTGAGCTTTGCTCTTTCGGCCCGCCTCTCAACTGTCAATCAACTGTTTACTAACTACTTTTTTTTTTCTTTTTTTTTTCCACACCACACACACACACACACACACACACCCCAGGAAGCAGCCCGTGACAGCTGACTAACTCCCAGGTACCTATTTACTGCTAGGTAACAGGGGCACTTAGGGTGAAAGAAACTTTGCCCATTTGTTTCTGCCTCGTGCGGGAATCGAACCCGCGCCACAGAATTACGAGTCCTGCGCGCTATCCACCAGGCTACGAGGCCCCTAACAAGTGTTGGTCTAACAAGTGTTGTGTAGATTGCTTTGAAGGAGTCCTGCTTAAGGTTTCTAAACGATGTTCTTATATTTGTCAGTGTGTGTGTGTGTGTGTGGTGTGTGTGTGTGTGTGTGTGTGTGTGTGTGTGTGTGTGTGTGTGGTGTGTTGTGTGTGTGTGTGTGTTTTGTTGATGTCTCTGCCACCACCACCAGCTGAAACGGGGTGAAAATAGCTTGAGCTACCTCATCCCTTTGTGTGTATTTTACCTCAATAAACTTATTTCAAATTTCAATTTCAACCACCAGCTGAGATTGTGGTGGCTGACAACACTACCACCACCACCACCAGCTAACTACACAATCTGGTTAACACCTCGTTCAGTCTCTGATATTCTCTAACACACGCACTTAAATATATATTTTGTGCCACACAATCTATCATTTGCTCGCCATACCAACTATATGCTTCATATTTTACCCCGCGTTCAAATTAGTGACAGATTTATTCAGCGCTCCAAATTCTTTTATGAAAAGAAACATTGTATTGGGTTGTATTACAGTGGAAGAATACACAAGAATACACAAGAAAGCTTATTTTATTTGAGTCTAAATTGCGCACTTTCATGCATCGTGGCTATTTTTTATTTATTTTTATTAGGCTTCTAATCAGTGCTTAAGGATATTGAATCAGTGGTTTACTCAATGTCGTAAATGCAAGTAGTTATGCCAGATGCAAGTGGGGGAATATAATGCAGTGTTTGTGTGTGTGTGTGTGTTTGTGTGGTGTGTGTGTGTGTGTGTGTGTGTGTGTGTTTGTGGTGTGGTGTTGTGTGTGTTTTGTTTTCGTTTGTGCTTCTACCCCTCTAAGGTTGTGCGATTTACTTCCATTAGCTTCTCCTCGTAGCTTAACCCTCTTAACTCTGGCACCAGTCTTGTTGCAAACCTGTGGGGGGGGGGGTTGGTTTTAATTTTGTGTTATGCTTCACAAAGTGCGGATTCCATGCCGGTGCTGCATAGTCCAGCATTGGTCTAACAAGTGTTGTGTAGATTGCTTTGAAGGAGTCCTGCTTTAGGTTTCTAAACGATGTTCTTATATTTGTCAGCGTTCCGTATGCTGCTGATGTTATCCTGTGTGTGTGTGTGTGTGTGTGTGTGTGTGTGTGTGTGTGTGTGTGTGTGTGTTATGCCGGTCTTAGTATGTAGGAATGATATCCAATTACAAATATTTCTTTTCGATAAATGTAGCTGTCTTCCCCATATACTGTAGATGTTTTCTGGTCTCCTGTCTCGCTTACACCAACTTCATCACCTTACACTTGATAGAATTGAATTCAGCAACCATTTCTTTTCCCCAACTCCTGAAGGGAATGCAAGAAATTCTAAAGCCCTCTAATGCCCCGTTATCTAAGGCCCTCCTGTAACTTCCTGCCGTCTAACGAGCCCATTAGACTTCTACAACCAAATGACAATGATAAAACGGGAGATGAAAGGTTGTAATAACTGTATATTTGTTATGGAAGCCAGACGTTTGTACAGTAGCCATTTTGCGTACAAAATGCTTCCATACAAACTTGGAGAACACGGTTCATTTAATTGGAAATTTACCAGGGGAAGGAGAGGAGATAGCTCTTGAGTTAGTAATAGGTAATTACTAGTTAGCAATAGGTAATAGTTAGTAATAAGAAATAATCAGAGAGATGTCACAAACTTGGTGTCACAAGGATAGACGCTGGGAGCCAATTCTCTTAATGATAGATGTCATGACCTCACAGGTCAAACTGAATCATTCAAATGCATGTTTTTACAGATTATGTAAAGCTGATGAGAGTCCAACATGAAGGGTTGAGAGAGAGAGATGAGCCTGGATGCGCTGCTGCACTGCCCAGAAAGATGGTTGCAAGACTTAAACCCGAGCAAATGCATAGACACCAAAGAGAATAATGAGGGCGGGGGTAAATGAACCATAAAAACAGTGTAATTCTATGAAACAGAAAAGAAAGAGAGAGGGATTATAAGAGTTTACCTCCAAACCTGACACACCTGAGTCTCTCATCACTAAAATGACACACCTGTAGTTAACGTGAACTTGGCAAATACCGTATAGAGCAGCCTCTATTGGTACCTATGTAAACATCATATATACAACCTATGTACAGCCAAAGCTTGAATATGCAGTCCCGGCCTGGAGTCCCCATTTAATATTAAATAAAATGAATCTAAAGTGTTTCATTAAGGGGCCGAGATTGATCCTGAGAGCACCCTGTTGCACCGAGCGACTGAGTTAACTCAACCACACCACGTTAGGGGGGGGGGAAGTAGTGGGGGCTGTATGGTTAGTGGGGGATACGTGGTTAGTGGGGATACGTGTTAGTGGGATACGTGGTTGTGGGGATACGTGGTTAGTGGGGATACGTGGTTAGTGGGGATACGTGGTTAGTGGGGATACGTGGTAGTGGGGATACGTGGTTAGTGGGGATACGTGGTTAGTGCCTCGTGTTTGTGGCGGATATCTGGTGTGTACTCACCTATTTCTACTCACCTATTTGTGCTTGCGGGGGTTGAGTTTTGGTTCTTTGGTCCCGCCTCTCAACTGTGAATGAACTGGAGCTTCAGGAGACAGGTTTGGTGTGATATCAACTCCTAGATCTTTCTCTCTCTGTCCGTTTCATTAAGTACTTCATCTCCTATTCTGTATCCTGTGTCTTTTCTTTCCTATTTCCACTGCCTAG